GTCATCTACGGATATGTCCATAAAGGAGGCATTATATAATAAGCATCATTTTATTGATAGCCTCACAGCTTTACGGCTTGTATACATCATCATAATTATCAAATGCCTTGCCGACCGATGTGTGCAATCATGCCTCTCCACAATCTGCCCTCTTTGACATCGTAAATCAGTTCGTGTGCTGATATTCCTTCATGTAATGACGAAATGCTGTCAAGAATCCCCTCGCGTTGTGTTCATCTGTCTCTTTTTCCAGTGGTCATAGCATGTTCCTATTTCCTTGTTCTCATACAGTAAAAGAGACCCATATTCCACGCCTTTATGCGCATTGGGTATATAGTGCTACACCTATATCTTATAGACGAATCGGAACATAGTGGGTGATGTGATTAACGGCATGCCGGCCGCCTTTACTTCACATGACTTAATCTTGTACTCATTTAAGGTTCCATGGGGAACCGAAGTCGTTTTTGAAAAAAAGTCCTGCTCTGTTTGGATTTGTACCAACGATAAGCGGATTCGTAGGCGACGTCTAACCTCTATGCCACAGTGACTTTCGCTTGTCATAACTTGACCAAAACATAGTGACTGTCTCTTTCTGTTATCTATAATAAGTGTTTTGTTTTGTGCCCTCGCCTCTTTTAGAACATTTGAGTTGTCCTTTTCTTTTTTTCGTCTGTCCAAGGAATTGCAAGGATTATTATGTAAAACCATACCTCTAAGACCTCAAGAAATTACATGCAGTAATTTAGAAAACGCAAAATATGTCCAGTCGCCAACAACGTGCAAACCATTTGATGATGACGAGGGACAAAGAAGTGTTTTTCCTCTTCATAGTTCATAAAACACACACACGCCACACGCACACTTACACACAATCTACTCTCACTCTAAAAGACACACACACGCACGCACGCGCGCGCGCGCACAACCACACAGTCAGACATCACACACACAATCGAATACCGCCCACTCACCCTCACTGCCACACAAGCAGGGCTGCCAATGCTGGGTTCCCCCCAGATCTGGGTTTTTATTTGACGCCTGGGGGAAATCTGGGTTTTTTTTTAAATATATCCTTATATAAAAGTGGTAAAAATGTTTCGTTTCTTAACTATAAATTTTGTACATTTTAAAAATCTGTGTTTTTTATTTATTATTATATTTTTTTGTTATTTATCTATGTATTGCTTGGGTTTTTGTTTAGCGAAGCTGGGTTTTAAAAAAAAATCCAATTGGCAGCCCTGCACACAAGGGAGATCACTACCATTCAACCGAAGACAGCGCAAACCAGATTTCGAACAGACGTTAAGAAGGTGGTCAACACTTCTACACTGAACAAATTTCACACTTCGTAGATCCTACATGTCATTACGGACAGGTGAAGATATCCAGTGTTTTTAAAGGGGAAAGTTGTGTTTATAATATTGTACTGCAAATTTATAACACTGTGCGTCGAGAGAACAGACCCGGCTGTGGTGTCCCTGTTATTTGCGCTGCAGCTGTTATAATTTAGTCGTCCTAATGTGTACGCAATTTTTCGTTATTTTAAAGCCCCATCTTGGCTCTAGTCGGGGGACCTAATATAAACGAACGGTTGAACGGGGTTTCTGCGACTTGTGCCCCTGTGATCCTCATCTGAATTGTGGCACTATGCGTCACTGGATGTTGGTCGCTTGTTGTAGTCTTGGTAGGGTTGAACGACACATACATATTGTAATTGGTACTGTAGTTGTAGTCGGCTCTGTGGCTAAGTCGATGCGAACGCTTCGTAATGCCGGGTTCGATCCCAGCTGCGGGCTATGCGCCTTGCGTTGGTTTCGACAGTGGTATCAGTCAGGGGGCCGACCGTCCAGAAGCAATGGTAAACCACTGGGCGTAAATTTGCCTAGAGATTGGTTGGTTCTGCAACGTCCTGTAAAGGATACGCAACTAACTGTAGTTGTAGTACTAGTTGTAGTCATGCAAGACATGATGTTAAGTTAAAATAATTGCTGTGTGTTGTGACTCAGCCAGTGACTCAGCTATCCCCTAAACATAACCAATTGGATGGGTAGATTGGTCATACGCACTGCTAACGGCTTTCATTATTATGATTCATCTTGTCTGTCCTTTGCAGAACATCGATCTCATCACAGTCTGCCTGGGAGAAACTTGGCTTGCCACTATCCCACATTGTAAACTTTCATAACTTGAGAATTACTTATATAATATGAACATCTTCGTATTGGTCAGCCCCTGCCCGGGCACCGTGCCATCTGCTGTTATTTGTGGTCCTAACATTTTATTTCACCCCAAACACAGGGAACCCTGGAATCCCAGGGAAAGTCCAGTAATGTAGGGGTGTTACAGTTTGAAATGAACACTGACTAACACTAACCCTGACACCCCTATTTAATACTTTCCTGGAGATTCTGGGGGTTCCCCATGTTTGAGGTGAGCTACAATGAAAGTACCTAATTTTCACTCCGGACCGCCATGTTGCTTGATATGAAAACTAAAAACTATTTGACGTTATTCAGGTTGCTTCGCCTGCGTTTGGGGGCCAACCTGGTTTTTAAAAAAAAAGTTCTTTCCTTTTTTACCACCCCCACCCTTTCCAAGCTGTAACTTGCAGATTTGGCTATCCTATGATTATAAATTCTGTCTCAATCCTGATGGAAAGCCAACCTATGAATGGCAAGAAGAAGTTAAAATTGGGGCACCCTTTACAGTCATACTGGTTGGATGCAACCTGCAGCCTTGTGCAGTTAGGAATAATCATCCTAGTTGTAGGTGAATATGACAAATTGTTTCATCACTATGCCCTAGTGTGTATGAGGTAGTAGGTATAAATATAATTTAAATGAAATACCAAATCATCATCAAGTTGAATAACAATCAGCATCAAAGCACTCCGGATGTTCCCATAAGCGCTCCATCCCCATCTTCAGCAACAAGCAACGAGTTCCAATTCCGATGGCATTAGTAACAGTCTGGTTGCATATGAGTCTCACCTAATTCCTTGAGTGTTGAGCATCGGCCAGATTCCCTGGTAACTCCTTGGAGCACCATTCTGCTCACACCATAATGATCCATTTGCCCCCACACTGTTCACTCTCTCCCAAAGGACACTTGCAGCACCATTCTGCTCACACCATAATGATCCATTTGCCCCCACACTGTTTACTCTCTCCCGAAGGACACTTGCAGCACCATTCTGCTCACACCATAATGATCCATTTGCCTCCACACTGTGCACTCTCTCCCAAAGGACACTTGCAGCACCATTCTGCTCACACCATAATGATCCATTTGCCTCCACACTGTGCACTCTCTCCCAAAGGACACTTGCAGCACCATTCTGCTCACACCATAATGATCCATTTGCCTCCACACTGTGCACTCTCTCCCAAAGGACACTTGCAGCACCATTCTGCTCACACCATAATGATCCATTTGCCTCCACACTGTGCACTCTCTCCCAAAGGACACTTGCAGCATCACGTTTGAATACATCAATTCACAGCAAAGTGGTTGGTGCAGGACTAGCCACTGCTTGATACCATCATCATAAAGTCAGAGACCTTTTCATTGTTCACAGGGGCCTTATAAAATGCCACCCTTGTGTGTGTTTTGATGCCTAATTTTAAGGAGAAAAGAAGAGAAGCCCCACTGCCTTTCAACAAACATGTGATCAAAGATAATTAAGTAAGGGTTGCTGAAATCAGATGTGTTGGATAAAAAAGTGCAGATATCACAGCTTTGCTGTAAACCGCAACTTGTCAGCTGCCCTTTTAAAAGGGGAAAATGGCAGAAGAAGAAGATATACAGTGGGAAATTCAGTTCAGTGGTTTGCTCTGTTATTATGATCAAGATGGCTTTCTATATGGAGATGGATATAGTCCAAGATTTGCGGGTGTTCGGGGTAATGAGCCAGCTGATAGATTAACTGCTACCACTCCTCTAGGGGATGAGCTATGTTATGATAAAGCAGTAGTGGTGAAGGCTCTCTGAGATCAAGTGGACCGTGCATCCAAACAGGCTGAGTATCCTTACATTGATAGACTGATTCAGCAATGGGGTTAGCAGGTGATCTGGAAGATCTTCAACATTGCAGGGACAACAGGCAGATTTTTAATCAGGTTGCAACAGGTACTTTAAGCATATCAACTCTCCGTTGGCTACTAAAAAAGGAGATGGAGCGGGTGTAGAAATTTTCTGAGTACAGAGATGTGAGTATTTGATTCATTCATTCATTCAGTGCAGAATACCTGAGCTGCAATTGCCTGTGCATATCAAGCAGTCCATAGTTTGCTATGTCATTTGCATTTGGCCTGATCATACTAACAAAATCTGGCAAGGCTGACTGGTTGAATATATTAATCAAGTAACAGAAAGTGTATTGATCGGTACTCATAGTTGAATATGCAGCTTTCTAAATAATGCCTCTTTGAAAGTAAAAAAAAACTCCTTTTTTCAGTGCGGTTATTATCCCTTTCGGTCATCTACCAATCTTCTGGGACTGAGAGAGTTAATCTTTTCAAAATAATCTGCCTAATATTTTCCCTGGAGCTGACAGTAACATTAATTCTGTTAGTTGATGGTTGAAAGCAGAAGAAGACAGAAATAAGGAAGATAAGGAGAGTTAGAAGAAGTAATAAGGTGAATGGGAAGAAGAAAAGGAAGAAGATGAAGAAGAAGAAGAGAAGAAGAAGATAAAGAAGATGAAAACTAAACAAAAACAAAAAAGAGAAGAAATAGGAAAAGGAGACATAGAGAACAAGGAAAAAAAGGCAAAATAATGGCTGTAAAACAGGCTGTACAAAAAAAAAAAAGATATAAAAAACTGTTTAAAAAAAAATATACATAACATCAAAGAAATAATTAAGTGATCAAGTTCAACATATATATTTAAGTAAGAAATCAAACAAGGGACACATATGTTCTATACCCCATTAACACATTGACATGGTAAGGATATATGAACTGTTTCAGGTGTGTCAAGACTAATGATTGAGAACATGTTGCAGACATTGCTGATGCTGGCAGTGCCCACCTTGTTCACATTGACCGCTGTGCTGTACACATTGTCTTGTACTGAAAGACCAGGCAGAGGTAGATTATACTGTTTATAAACATTTGAAATTTCAACTGTTTTTTAGGCAGGTTAATTATGCAGTAGGCATACAGATTCATAATTTAAATTGCATGCCTGTATTACAACACAGTTAAACATTTATGGCAAAGATCTTTGAATTGAAAAAAAAAATATTGGCAGCAGAAATGAGCTATGAGTATTAACAACCGTTCAGGAACATTTAAAAAGCAGTGTGATAAGGGTATGTACTTTATCTATTTTTTTTTTAATTATACATTTAAAATATAATAAGATCTATAGAAGATAAGCTGACGACAACAGACAACAACATCTTCATAGTAGAAAGTCAGAAATAACTACAAGAAATGATAGATGTGATGGGTGTAGAATGTACTAGAATGGGAGCAGGCATTTCCAGTTTTTTAGGTTGGACCTGTACAAAGCAGTGCTTCTTATCCAGGTATTGTACAAGCCTTTGTTCATCTGACCTTCCTTACTAGCCATCCTACCAGCTTTATTAAGCATCATACAATCTTTATTGTTCCCTTTATTACTAGCCATCCTACCAGCTTTATTAAGCATCATACAATCTTTATGGTTCCCTTCATAACTAGCCATTTTACCAGCTTTATTAATTCAATCTTTATTGTTCCCTTCATAACTAGCCATCTTACCAGCTTTATTAAGCATCATTCAATCTTTATTGTTCCCTTCATTATAGCCAACTTATTAGCATCATAAATTTTTTATTGGTTCCTTTATTACTAGCTTTATTACCAGCATCATTATTCAATCTCCCTTATTGTTCCTTTATTTCATTACTAGCCATCTTACTAGCCTTATTAGGCATCATAAATCTTTATTGTTCCCTTTATTACTAGCCATCTTACCAGCTTTATAAAGGATTATTCAATCTTTATTGTCCCCTTTATAACTAGCCATCTTACCAGCTTTATTAAGCATCATAAAATCTTTATTAGTCCCTTCATTACTAGCCATCTTACCAGCTTTATAAAGGATCATTCAATCTTTATTGTTCCCTTTATAACTAGCCATCTTACCAGCTTTATAAAGGATCATTCAATCTTTATTGTTCCCTTCATTACTAGCCATCTTACCAGCTTTATTAAGCATCATACAATCTTTATTGTTCCCTTCATAACTAGCCATTTTACCAGCTTAATTAGGCATCATACAATCTTTATTGTTCCCTTCATAACTAGCCATCTTACCAGCTTTATTAAGCATCATTCAATCTTTATTGTTCCCTTTATTACTAGCCATCTTACTAGCCTTATTAGGCATCATAAATCCCTTTATACTATCCCAGCTTTTATCAATCTTTACTAGCCACCTTACCCTTTATTATAGCCATCTTAAGGATTATTCAATCTTTATTGTCCCCTTTATAACTAGCCATCTTACCAGCTTTATTAAGCATCATTCAATCTTTATTGTTCCCTTCATAACTAGCCATCTTACCAGCTTTATTAAGCATCATACAATCTTTATTAGTCCCTTCATAACTAGCCATCTTATCAGCTTTATTAAGCATCATTCAATCTTTATTGTTTCCTTCCTAACTAGCCATCTTACCAGCTTTATTAATCATCATGCAATCTTTAATGTTCCCTTTCATAACTAGCCATCTTACCAACTTTATTAGGCATCATTCAATCTTTATTGTTCCCTTCATAACTAGCCATCTTACCAGCTTTATTAAGCATCATTCAATCTTTTTTGTTCCCTTCATACCTAGCCATCTTACCAGCTTTATTAAGCATCATACAATCTTTATTAGTCCCTTCATTACTAGCCATCTTACTAGCTTTATAAAGGATCATTCAATCTTTATTGTTCTCTTTATAACTAGCCATCTTACCAGCTTTATTAAGCATCATTCAATCTTTATTGTTCCCTTCATAACTAGCAATCTTACCAGCTTTATTAAGCATCATTCAATCTAAAACCTTGGACGGCCAGAGTAACTAACAACGATTGCGCGAAAGAAGCTAGTGAAAGTAGATATCTATACACAACAAGAATGAGACAAATTACTGTTCTTTGGTCGCAAAATAGGAAGAGAGACATTGGAGAACATCGCGACATCTGGAAAAATCAGTGGAAAAGGGGGTACAAGCAGACCAAGAGAGATAATGCTTAATGGGCTGAAACGATGGCATGGAGGGATATCATCTAGAGAGTTGTTCCAGTCAACCAGGGATCGTGATCTGTGGAGACGCATGAGCGCCTACGCCAGTTATCATGGCCCATGATGATGATGACGAGACTGCAGTTTGTGTCATTTTTCCCCACAAGGGACGTTAATGGACATTATTTGTGGTTTTCATTGCCAAAGCAACAGAGCAACAATGGAGTGACCTGCTTGCTGTAAAGTTGTAGCTGCAGTTAGCCGATCTTCTTGAGTTAATTTGTTTTGAGACACCTTCATTGTGCATTTAAATCTTTTTTTTTTAATCATTCTTCTTTAAAACCAACATCTCTGCCACTTTCACATATTAAAAAAAAAAAAAAAATAAATTGGGTGCTTTATTAAAATCCTACGCCAAACAGGAAAAATCCACAGGTAACGGGACAGTCTAATATATAAGAGCTTGGTAGATAGGTTGCATGTAGTCGTGGGACCTAGGCTGCATGCAGTCGCAGGACCTAGGCTGCACTCTCTAGTGGGACATAGATGGATTGGGGTTAGGGCCAGTTATAGATGTTTTGGGGTCGTTAAAAGCATCAGAAAGCTGGGAAACCCAGTCTTCCCCCCCCCCTCTCTAAAATATTGGACTGTCCTATGACATCATCTGGAGTAGGATATTAAACAAGAACCAAAAATTATTCCTTGCTGTACCTTAAGTTTGTCTAGAATATGTCTAGCATAACTATAAAATGATTTCTGTTGTTTCATAACATTTCAGGTCTTGGTAGTGCCATCACTAAACTTGCAGAGCTGCTAATGAATAGAAGAACTGGAAGGAAAGTCACGACAAACACTCCAAACTCACACATTGGAGAGTGTGTTGTCTGCTTTGAGGAAACCTACATGGTTCTGCTGTACCCATGTCAGCATTCAACTGTCTGCCTCAGGTGTGTAGCTGAGATCATTGCCAGTGGCAGTGGAGAATGTCCCTTGTGTCGGAGTCAAATACAAGGCTATAGTGAAGTCTTCTAAATAACAGTAGTCATGTGTATACTTTGTTGCGTTTTTGTTAAGCCAGTCAGAAATTTAAAAAGTCTAAGTCTTAGTTGAACCACTGATCACTGGCATCATGAGAGCTAATAGACTGAAATGTTTGGGGCATATTGGAAGAATGTCAGATGACACAGGGACATGAATGGTCGTAGACCACGAGGCAGACCAAGTAGACGATGGAGAGACAGACCTGCAAACACTTGGTGTCACCAACTGGAAAGAGAAGGCCAACCAGAGAGATGAATGGAGGCGGGTGATATCTACAGCAATAAACTCAAAGGCTCGGAATGTTGTAGAAGAAAAATGAAGAAGCAGAAGAAGTCTTAGTCGAGGTTTCAACTTCACTGCAATCAAGTTTTTCCCCATACTTGCTTGTTCTGCTCCTGTGCCAGGAAAATCACATAAAATCCCTCACTGTCCCATTTGAAAAACTGGTGAACAGACAATTGGTCTTGGGACAATCCAGAAATATGCGCACACAGTAAATGCAAATGGCAATTGCTAGGGATGCCAAAGCCAACAGTCGCCACCAGAAATGCAGTTTGCCGTTGATGGAAATAGTCAGGCACAATAAGTTAGCTATACATGTGAAGAATTATTACATAAGGTATTTTACCAGATCACATGTAAACCGACTACCGACAATATTAAATACCATGATTCTAACCGCTGCACAAATGAAAGGCATTCCACCTGAAAAACACAGCTCACAGGGCTGCACCAAGCACTAAACTCAGGCAGCGAAATTTAGGCAGTGTTTAAGCAGCAATTATATAGATGGTAGCAAATTTTGGATGTGTCCGAGTCTCTTAATACTCAGTCACTGAAAAAAGAAAACTAGAGATTTGGAGCTGAAAGTTTACAGAAAAATTCTTAGAATATCATGGGCCAAGAACAAGAAATACAAAGACATCCTATATGATCTGAGTATTGAGGAGAACTGACTCATAAACAGCATCCTGTCCCAAAAGCTGAAGTATTTTGGCCATGTTGAATGTCATGTGACCTGGCAGAAGCTGTGATGGAGGGTGAATTTTTTAAGAAAACGAGGCAGAGGCAAACCACTGCGAATGTGTATGCAAGGCATTGAAGATGCGTTGACTATAAAAGCACATAGGGTTGAAGAAAGAGAGACTCTCAGGCATGTTGTGACGAGAGTGTCATTCTTGAAACGACCTGCTGACTGATGGCGATGGGCCAGATTTAGTAAGTATCCATTATCATAAGTAGTAGTAAGTAAGGTTTACGCAGAGCAATAAACACCCAGTGACACAAAGTACCAACATTCACATGAGGATCACCCGTGGAGAGGTCCTGAAAGCCCCGTTCAACCACAAGGTTACATTAGGGCGGGGCTTCCAGGTAACAAAAAATTGCATCCTACAAGGGGACGACTTGTAACCAATTTAAACAGTGCATCCATTTTAAAAACACAGTATTATATTTTTAAATCTCTTGGCAAAAAAACTTTCTTTAAATGCCTGTTTCACCGCTTTTATGACTGTGTAGGACATGTTTTGAAAAAGGGGATGGGGGGGGGGGGGGGGGGGGGTGTCATAAGCTTGAGGATTTAGAAAGGTTAGTTGCGTATCCTTAACAGGACGTTGCAAAACCAACTCCAGCAGCCGCTGGCTGTTGTGTGGTTTCTCTGAGCAAATTTACGTCCAGTAGTTTGCCATTGCTTCTGGACGGTCGGCCCCCTGATACCACTGTCGAAACCAACGCAAGGCGCATGGCCCGCAGCTGGGATCGAACCCGGAACCCTGGCGTTACGAAGCGTTCGCATCGACTTAGCCACAGTGCCGACTGAGGATTTCAGACCGCCTGAAATATTCAAGTGGTGTATAAGACCAAAAGAGTCCTTTTCTTGACTGGTAACAAATTTAATCTTTGTTATCTCCCCTAGATAACAGTGTCGGATGTTCACAGTTTCTGCACATTCATGATCTTGTTACTGGGGCCCCAAAGGGAAGCCAAGAATAATAACATTAAACTTGATTAAGCATGTCGTATGAGGCTACTGAGATAAGTTTGAGCTTGTAATTGGTTACCTCATGTCGTGAACCCGAAAGACCATTATGATTTCTGTCATCTGATTGTATTCTCCCCACCTCACCAGAAGCAACACTGCCACATGCCCTATCCAGTCTGGACTTCAGTATCTATCTTCTTTTACCCCATCAGGACATCACACAAGCGATAAACACCCGATGACATAAAGTGCCACCGTGTGGATGAGGGTCACCAGTGGAGAGGTCCCAGAAACCGCGTTCAGCCATTAGATCATATTTATGGCCGGGTTATATTGCGGCCCCTGGTAATAGCCAGAGTAGGGCTTCAAATAACGAAAAATTGCATCCCAAATAAGAGATGACTAGATATAGGAATTGGGTAACTCAGGTCCAGGTAAAAGCCAAAAGTCCAAATGGACGAACTACCGGGACTTTCGGCCGGAATTCAAAGCCGGCGAATGAAGAAAAAGAAGTTATCCTGTAACGGTCTGGATCCCCATATAATGTTATCATTAAACGGGGTTTATGGGATTTGTACGTAGGGGATTTGAATCGTATTTGTATCATTATGAAATGGATTATCTATATCTGCAACGTTGCCTCTTCTTTAAACTTTACTGTCTTTTTAATTCACTCAGCGACCCGTAAAGTTTGACTTGCACCGGTGTTTCTTTTGGCCAACAGTTTTGCCGTGATGTGTTATATTTAAAACAGTCTGAGGTGCCAGTCCACATGTACACATGGCTGATTCGCCAGTCTTAAATTGTGTGTACATGTGGCTGCGAAGTCGATTGTGTCCTGTTCTAAAAACGTGTTCTGGTCTGTCCAATATATGGTAATTGTCTTGTTCCGGTTTTGATGGCTCTTTGATTGATTTGTATCATCCGAATAGTGACATTGTGCATGTTTGCGTCACTGGTTTTTAATATCTCGGTGTGCAGTCCTATGTCAGTTTTATTTTCTGTTTTCTCTTTCTTCCTTTTCTGTCTGTCCGTCCGTCTGTCTGCATGTATAGCTGTTTTGGCTGGTAAATCAGGATTAATTCTCATAACGTGGCCAAGCCATTTACATCTTGTCTTGGTAATCATACTGTCTAAAGTTTCTTGGTTTGTGACTTGAAGTAGTTTAGTGTTTGAGATTGTATCTGGCCATAAATGTTGATAATTCTACTTAGACATGTGTGGTGTAAGGTGGACAGCTTGTGTGCATCCTTTTTGGTCATTCTCCAGCATTCCGCTCCATAAAGAAGAACTGGCAAAATGATGCTCTTAAGAGTCAGAGTTTCGTTCCTCAAAAGTAATTGTTGGATTTCCAGATTTGCCTCATCCTTCCAAAAGCAGCTCTAGCTTTGTTCAGACGTGACTGTATGTCCTCTTTGGTCCCTCCCGGTAGGGACACCACACTGTCAAGATATGTGAAATGTTACATTCATGTTCTGGAACACAACTAGATCCTGAAGAGGACGAAGAACCAGAACTTTCCGCCGGAGTTTACAGCCGGTAAACGCGAGAAAAAAAAAGTCCTTAAAAAAAAAAAAAATTATTGATAATTGTTTCCTAAGAAAATGGACTATCATAGCGAAAATTTAGTGGGTTCTTGTACATATAGTGCTCTAACTATGATAGGTTCTCGTTCTGGGTTTCTTAAATTAGTTACAGAAAAAAAAAAAATCAAAAAATCTTTGGAATTCATTGTGTAATTAACTAATAGGCGCAGGCAGTCAACACACTGATACACACAGTATCAAGAGGATGCACTGAAAATAGCTATACAAGTTGTGTATTTTGTGAAATCAAGATCGTTGAACACGGGAATCTTTCAGGCACTTCGTGATGACCTTCAAACGACACAACTAATTATGAAAGGAAAATATGCTGACTCGATTGTTCGAGTTGAAGTTTGAGTTTAAATCTGAGGTCGAAGTCTTTCTCGTGAGTTAAAAAAGGATCTGTATCATGCAAAACTCATCTGCCTTTTCAATTTCATATATTACTGATTTTTTCCCCCTAAGCTTTGAATAATTTGTTCTCCCTGATTGGGTTCCGGGGTCCCGTTGCGGGGAAAAACAGAATAGATCCGCTATCTCTCTTTACAAGCATGTCGTGAGAGTCTACTAATTGGGTGAGGAAAAGGGCGGGAGTTCCCTTCGAAGCCATAGTGCATCTGCCTGAGAGGCAAGGAGCCAGCAGTCCACACGCAGACAGGCTGGATCTGTAAACCCATCGCTTTGATATTTTGACACTAAATTACCAGTTGTTGCTGATTGTTTCTTTTGTTATTTGACACTTTGATTTATGAGGATTTTTTCTCTCTCAAAGTTCTCTTTAACAGTGATTTGGGATTTTTCATTTTGTCATTTTGTTGGTAATCAAATTGTATAACGCAGGTCTTTTTTGGGTGGGGGAAAAGGGGGGGGGGGGGGGGTTCTATTAGTTTTGCCGCGCACTCAAGAGAGCGCCACCTGAAAAGATTAGAGACGTCAGCTAGGAGCTCGCGCTTTCTGGGATCCTCTCGAGAAATGGCTATCCAATCTGCAGGGCAAAATCTAACCATACCTGATGCAGAGAAATCAACTGTAAATTTCAGCTGTAACTTCTGAACAGGGAATTCCCCCCCCCCCCCCCCCCCACACACACACACACACTTAGAATGAACTAATCTTTTAATAGGAATAAGGTTGTGGATAAACATGACCGCCAACGCCACGGACTATAAGAAGAAGTAGAAGAAGTAATGACTACATCGGCGCAAAAAAAAAAAGTTACGCAAAGAATAATCGCCCCGTGGCAGTATAAGACGACGGCGACAGCCCCGAGGGAAAGACAATCACATAAGAAACATGCTGCGTCCTCCTCGCCAACGCCTAAGAACCCGCTAAATATCTCCACACGTGACCGACACGTGACTTCCGCCAGCCAGGAAATTATCAATGATCAGGTCAAGTGTCCTCACGTGTGCCAAATAGGC